TAGAAGGTCTAAGGAAGCTGTTGTTGCTCATTTTCTTAAGGCAATCTTTTTGTCCTATCAAAGTTCAAACATCAGATCCAACATATCCTATAAAGAAAATGAAGAGGTCAAAGAGTAATCATGCAAAAAAGGCAAAATCTTTTTTCATTCCTTTCACTGTAATGAGAGATCCAGAATTCTGAGCTTTCTACAAAACAATGAAAAGACATTTTTTCTTTGTGAACTGCTCTTAGCAGGGACTAACGCAGCTCCTAAGTTACAAAAAGCATTCAGAGATGGATGGATTCAGCACCTATATCTATGCGACAAAGCAGTGTGAGATGGAAACCAGATCGATGGCTGACTACCATATTGAGTATGTTGCAAAAGAGGACAAAAAGAATTCAAGTGATATGCTAGATGAGGGGTGACAACAGGCTTGCATCTTATACAGAGAGCATAAAGTCAAGGAAGTCCAGGGGTGAAATCACCAGCCCTTGCTCTTGCATTTCCTTGTTTTTCTGCAAAACAAGGGAAGGAGCATGGTCCAGATGTCTAAACCTGTACATTTAGACAGCCTTACAGCTCCCTCACCCCAAGTTCTTCCAGTGTTTGAGGAATGTGATCCCTACATCACTTCTGTGGAGGTGCTTCAGAATACCTGTTCTTTGACAGATATTAATTGCCCCTTCATTTTTTCTCTCCTTTTTTTTTTAATTATTTGCACATCTGTTTTGTTTCTTTCTGTGAATGAATATGTAGAATTTTTCCCCCTTCCCCAAAAGTAATCTTGGCACCAAAGACCGATGTAACTGCCTTTCAACCAAGGGCTTTCTGCATCTTCCAGAGCTGTGCACAGCTGAGAACCAGACTCTGCTGCAGTATTTAGCAGGATCCAGCCAGCAAGCCTTCCTCAGCACGCTAAGAAGAAGCATTGTAAACAACTGATACCTAAGACCAAAATCTTTAGGACTTGTAAACTCTTTACATGCACAAGTGCTAGTACTATTTTCTGCATAAACCTATTGCTATTTGCTGGTAAAGAAAAACATGCAGCAACAAAATTTTTGTCAGAGAGGAGAGCTCTGTCCATTAACAAGTCTGTAGTGATGTGATTTAAAGGAGACACCTTCCTATTTTATTTAAAACAAGATTTCAGAGCCACCTACCCACCTCACCAAGCTGTTACACCCAGTTTCCAAGCTCGAGCAAGGACTGGCCTTCATAGTCACCTCACCTGGTGTAGGGATCTGCCATGTAGATATATGCATCTTGACTGGTTGTCTGGGCTCCCACTCACCACTGCCAAAATTCAATTCATCTCCCCCAAAAGGAAGAGGAAGACACCAACCATAGTCAGAAAAATGGTGTTTACTGCCCTCAGCTGACAAGAAGAGGATCTGAGGGTAACTAACTCTTCATTATATGTGCATTCTCTTAGTTAGAACTAATTAACACCAAGACTATAGCAACACTAAGTTATCTGAAATTATCTACAGCTGACATGTGAAAAGCTGCTTCACAGAAACAGGTAACTCCTGCCTTAAATATAGAGCAATTCCCTAATGTGATCAGCCTGACCATCCTGCCTCCAGGTTGCTATGGGTGCTTATATTGCTGCTCCACAAAATCTCACTGGACTCACAGACTCACTAGGGATTTCTGCTTCTGTTTTTGGTTGCTTTGCTGTCTAAAAGGAAATGAAGCAAAAGTGCTGTTAATGGTGAATCCAGGGGCTACCATGAAATTGCCCTAGGTTAGCCAGTAGGTTTACAAGCCAAGTCTGAAAATAAAGCAGGACTTTAACACAGTATTGGATTCTGGCTTCCCCAAGGAAACATCAGACATGGGTAAACTTTCCTGGGATCCCCTTTGCAGGGGCTGAGGAGGAGAGATGTGAACCTTGCAAAGCAGCAAAACTTCCCTCCCTTGGCAGCTGTGGCCTCAGATGCCATGGTGGGGAGGTCACTCTCCTGCAAGGAAAGGGTTGCCCAGGTCAGGTTTGCAGTTGGGTTTGGTCTTTCTCAGCAGTGAGAGCATTTGGTGCCTTTGGATTTCAAGGCACCATGCCAAAGCCTTACCCTCCTTCAAAAGTGTGCTTGTGTCCCCCATTTGGGTACAGGTCATTCCACCTTCCCCACCACTTCCTCCAGGGAGGTCACAAACAGAATTAGCACTGACTAGAGGGCACTTCCCTCCCCCATCATCCCAGTGACCATGCCATCCAAGCAAAGATCCAGATTTCGCATTCAACTTTATTTATGGAGAAAGAAATCTTGGAGTGTAAGCCTAAGCTGTTGTCATTGAATATCTAATATTAACAAAAACGTTAATATTGACAAGAATGTTGATGAGAACAGCTTGTATGCATACCTGGTGTGAGTCAGCCAACCACCTTTGATCAACAGTGATACACAGGTATTTTTCAGTGGGAAAATGCATCTCAAAAACCTCTCCTATTGCCACTGGAAGAGACAGGATGATGCTGGACTGGTTGGATGTAGCTCTGAGTCAGGGCCCACTTCCATATCCCGAAAAAAAAAAAAAAAAAAGAGAATGACCATGTTTTTTGCAGGGGCTACAGAAAAATGGGGATTCTGCCTCACTAGAGCTGAACGTCAGTCCACAAGAAATGGTGCAACTCTATGAAGTGAGTGCTCTGAGATGGATTATTATTTGAACTGTGCACATATCTCTGCTGCTTTGTTCTCCCCTCCCTGTTATCTGTGTGCAAGTAACCATAGGTCTGCCTGGTTACAGACCAGCTTTGTGTCAAATGTGCCGCAGAGAGTTTCTTGCAGCCTCTGGGAACAGCTAATTATTTTATTTTATTTTATTTTATTGCCTGAAGAAATAGAATGAACTGAGCTGAAAATAATTGACTGAGTGGACCAACAGTATTCCCACTCCCTCTGCAGCCTAACATCTACTTAGCTTCAGCAGAAGTGGATTTTCTCTTCCTGGAGCCTCTCTTCTTGCTTCCCTTCTGCTATCCGCCTCAAGAAGAGATAGCAGAGCCTGGAGCTCACTCCTGGGCTCTCATGATAGTCAGAGCTGCTGCTGAAGATAGAGCTCTGAGAAATGCCAGGCAAGGTTAGAGCACTCCCCTCTGTCTGCTGTATGGAGTAGGGTTGAGTCTGCACTAAAAACACAGCAGAAGTCCATAATGCATTTGAGAAATTTGGTCACCACTTGACCCTCATCTCATTCCACTTCCTACATTTTTCAAATAAAAAGCAGTGGCGTTGCAAAATGTGTTTGTTTCCTGGGATTGTTGACTCATATTAGTATGGAGAAATTCTGATAGCAATTCTCTAGCTGTGCTAATTCATTCCAGGGAACTACATCAGTGAAGATTTCTGGGATTTTATAAAGGGTTTACATTTGTATGGACTTCTGGAATTCGCTAGTGTAGGATTATTTTGGTGGTATTTTTTATCTCTTTTAAAAAAATAAATAAAAAAAGCATGTCACTTAAAAACAAGTTTTATTAATTTCCTTCTACAATGACAATCAGCTTATTTCTGAGCACCTTTCTATCACACAGTCCAGAGAACATCATTCATATCCCAGGGAACACCATTCATATAATGAGAACGACTGCAGGAAGCTCTTCTGGATATATTCAGACTAAGGGGTAGACTGAAACCCTTTTAATGAGGAGATTCTCTTTTTTCCTTATTGCTGAAAGAATTTGGACAGTGAGGGATCCAACAATTCTTCTTCAAAATAACTAGTGATAGGACAAGAGGAAATGGCCTCAGGTTGCACCAGAGGAGGTTCAGATTACATATTGGGAAAAATTTCTACACAGGAGGAGTAATCAAGCATTGGAACAGGCTGCCCAGCAAAGTGGTGGAGTCAGCATCCATGGCAGTGTTCAAGAAGTGTGTAGATGAGGCACTTAGGGACATGGTTTAGCAGGATGGTGGTGATCTGTTACAGTTGGACTCAATGGTCTTGAAGATCTTTTCCAACCATAACAATTCCAAGATTCTATCTGCGAGAAGTGAACTCTCCATCTCCCAACAGCATAAAAGCCAGACTGGATGATTTTTCCAGTTCTGACATGCAATGAATGACAGGTCCTGCACCTGGGGAGGAATAACCCCAGACACCAGTACAGGCTGGGGACCGACCTTCTGGAGAGCAGCTCTGCAGAGAAGGACCTGGGTATCGTGGTGGACGACAAGCTGACCATGAGGCAGCAGATGCCCTCGTGGCCAAGACCAATGGGATCCTGGGCTGCATTAAGAAGAGCATCTCTAGCAGGTCGAGGGAGGGGATCGTGCCCCTCTACTCAGCCCTGGTGAGGCCACATCTGGAGTATTGTGTCCAGTTCTGGGCTCCACAGGACAAGAGGGATGTGGAGCTGCTGGAGAGAGTCCAGCGCAGGGCTACAAGGATGATCAGGGGCCTGGAACATCTGCCCTATGAGGAGAGGCTGAGGGAGCTGGGCCTGTTCAGCCTGGAGAAGAGAAGGCTGAGAGGGGATCTAATCAGTATAAGTACCTCAAGGGAGGGAGTGCAGAGGACAGGGATGGTCTCTTTTCAGTGGTGGCCACTGACAGAACTAGAGG